AACTTTTGATCTTAGAATTGAATGGCTTTGAAGTTGAAGTCCAATCACTAATTATACTTGATTAATGAATCTTTAAAACTTTGATCTTGTACCATAAAACTGCTCGGACAAGACAATTCTTCATTGTTTAGTACTTAAACAATATTTTATTATTCAAAAAGTAATATGATTTGGTATGAATAATGAAGCAGCTTCAATTATCTCTATATCTTTACTCCTTGCCAATTTTGTTGTTCTTGTAGTAGTTAATTGAATTGATTCATAATAGGTATCAATTTCATCAATTTTTCTTACATTTGTGCCATTGCATTCTTTATTTTAACAAGTTTTGTGAAAAAAAAAGATATCTAATATCACTCAAGATAAGTGGAAGAGAAGACTAAGCAACAAAAGAAATTCTAAGAATAATATCAGTTTAGAAGTAGATAATCTAAAACTTCTAATACGCTTATGTTTTATCATGAAAAAGGAGTAATATACTCTTAATCAAAAAAAGACAAAGATCTGATAATATAAGTATACTTTTTTTAATCTATTAAATATAATAAATCAAAGTAGTTATGTAAAAAAGTGAATTAAGTATTAAAGAAAGATGAAAAAATGATAATAAGAAAGTATATATTCTAGAAGAAACTATAATGGCTATTATCAAAGACTAAAAATCTAAAGACTTTTGATACTAGATCCCAAGCAAGGAAGAAATTGATAAGACTGAAGAAAGCTTCACTGTTATCTCTATGTATATTATCTAATAAAAAATCATGTAGAAACATTCTATATGACATCTAACAAGTGTTAAGTTTGTAAGGTATATATCTTGTAAAATAAGTTTCATATATGTACGCCATATGATTAACTTGTACCACAAGCCATTAATTCGTATAATATGTGGCTAACTTGTTGATTAAGTGTTCAACCTATCAATCACTTGTAGATATGTGTAAAGATGCAATTGCATCTATGAAGCTTTTTTCAGAAGATATTATCAAATTTATTTATTTTTATTTATTTTTATGTATTCATATTATTTAGATAATTATGAGATTAAATATATATATTCAAAAGAAAGAAAGATGTGGCTTTATCAATTCTTTAAAATAAACATATTGATTAGAAATTGATAGTAAGGTGAATTTTTGATATTATGACTATATTTGCAACAAAGTACAATTTGGAAGATGTAGTTAATTGGTGTTATACCGTAAATTAGTATTATATATAAAATTAGCTTTGAATTATAAAATATAATAGATTTTTTTATATATTATGGTTATTAGGTAAAATATTTAAAAGAAGATTAGATCATAAAATAAATCAATATTAAATATTAATTTAGGATTAAATTTATTATTACTATTTTAATCATTTTAAAAATAAATGTATAGATTTTAGAAATAAAAAATATCATAGAAAATTAAAAATAAAGCTTCAAAAGAATTAAAGGTATTGAACATTAATGTTATAAGATTTGATTTTAAGTCTTTTGATATGAAGTGGGAGCTAGGGTCTTAAAGAGGTAGAATTTATGATAAGGTGGTGGAATGGCATATATGAATTCTTGAGTTTAAAGTCTATTGCTAGTAGAAAATAAAAATAAGGAAGTATATTTTTTAATATATTTAATTAATTGACTAACAATAACTACAAGATTAATTATATAATGCTTATATTAAAAATTCATGTTAAGTAACCTATTACCTATAGACAAGAATAAAAAAATCATCTTTACTAATAGCATGATATATAACATCCACATCTTCTTTATATTTATCTTTTTAATTTATTAATATATATCTTATCTAAAAAACTAAATAACAAGTTGGTAGTAACTAAAACATAATAAAATTAATTTCTTAGAACCCTCATTATTTTTTCATACACAAAATATATGTATATAAGTAAAGTTAAAGTTTAGGATTAAGAATTTAAAGCTAGGATTTAGGATTTAAGATTTTGAATTAGGATTTTGAATTGAAGATTTAGATTTAGAGTAGGATTAAGTATTAAAGAAATATCAACAATATTTGAATAAAGATATAAGGCTCTTAAAAAGAAACTTTACTCTATTATATTTTTGTGAGCTTTCAACATAGAGTTTATTAATTTATTCAAGAGTAAAGGATTTAAAGAGAACTTGAAGTTTATTGAATGTTGATTTTCAAATACTTAAGAGAAATTAGAAAAATTAGTAGCAAATAGTGTCTAACATTTTTTTCAAATAAGATTCTTTTGCCACAATATTTAGTGATAAAATCTTTGAAATTAAGGATTAGCATATATAAAATTTTATAAGATGCTATAATAAGAAGAATAAAAGGTGATTGAAAAAGAAAAGGAGAAAATTAGAATGCAAGGATATAATGTAAGTATTAAAAACATTTAGAGCATATTAATAAGACTTTGGTAAAAATAATTTTATCACTTTGAAAAGTCATTGTAAAGAATTTAAGCAAAATTTAATGGTTTTAAAAGGATTTTAGGCTAATTAGATATTTTTAATATTATGATGAAGCAAAAAATATATAAAAAAATAATTCTATTAATAGAAAATATAAGAACCATTAGCTAGTTAATAACTGTAGAAAGGAAGGTATACATGTCATATATGAGTTATAGCACCTTAAATAAAGATAAGAAGATAAAAGTAAGGCCTCGTAGCTTTTCTAGGAAATGAAAATACATTAGTTATAAGCCTTGAAGAGGTTTGAAGTCTTAATCTTTTAAGCAAATTATCCTTTAGATAAAACATATTTAATAAATTTTCTTATCTTCTTATCTTTATTTAAGGTGCTATAACTCATTGAAGATTTATAGTAACTTCAATTTATAACTTCAGTTTATAACTTCAATTCATAAGTTACTATAAATCTTATAACTTACTTTATAAGGTTCACATCTTTAAATCTTTATAACTTATTTATAGTAACTTCAATTTATAATTTATTTCAATAGAAAGATTTAAAAAATTAATTATATAATAAAATATTTTTTATATTTATATTTTATTGAATAAAAATATAGTGAATAAACTATAATTAGTTTTAAACTAATATTATAGTCTAATTTGATTGTATTTGTTTCACTTCTTATGTCCATGTTCTTCTTTGTTTCTTAATAATTTTATCTTTAACTTCATACAACCAATTCCAAACAACACTTAATTGGGTTTATCTTCCAATTTTGATTGATATGTAAATTTTTTTGTTATAACTCTTACCTACCAATTTCTTTAATAAAAGAGACAAATAATTCCTAGATTTGATCAGCTTATATAAATTAATTATTACTTCAAATATTTTTATTTATTTATTTATTTATTTATATCTTTGTAGCTAAAAATATATAAGTATTCTTCTATATATTATTAAATAAGTTTTTAAGGAGTATAGATTATATGACAATTTCATTTTTTATCTTTTTTTTCTTATTTTGATCCTATTATAGATGCTTCAAAACAAACTATTTACTATCTCAAAAATTGTAGTTTTTTTTTTGAAATTTGAAAAATCATTTTTAAGTTCTTAAAAAAAATATAATAATTTTATCAACCTTAGATTCATTTTTTCTAAAACAAATTATTGTACTAATATAGATTTAATTATATTCTTGATGTCCTAACTTCTAATAGATATAGTTCTATTTTTCAACATGTGCATTCTTTTTTATTTTAATATAAGACTTCAATTTATTTTAATGTAATATTTATTATTTAATTAAATAAAAATAATTATACATCTATATTAAAATTTTGTTGGATTGATAAATTAAATATAGAATTTTGACTAAATTTTATTTATTTTTTGAATCTAAAAATGATTATTTAAAATATAACTATAATATTTTAATTAATATATGATATTAATTATTAAAAAATATATTTTAAAAATTTAATAATTATACTATAAAATTTTAATTTTTATGGTATTTTTCTTATAAAAATTCTGTAAAATATTTATAATCAAATGTAAAGATATAAAACCTATAATATTAATGAAAATAAATTAAAAAAATTTACTTATAATAAATAATTCAAAAATAATATTTAATATTTAATACTTGATTTTCCTATAAAAACTTAATTATTTTTTTTAAAAAACATTCAACCTTAACTCGATAGATGAAATATAAACTAATTTTTTTCAATTTTTTAAAGTTTTGATGATTATTATTATAGAATAATATTCTAAAAGTAAATTGTATGTAATATAAAAATTAATTTGAAATAATTTATATGTTTGAATAAAAATATAAATAATTTATATGGTTCAATCATGAAAGTCCATAGTCACATTGTTGATCAATCCTTACAGTTACGTACTTAAGCATGGTAGAAAACTTTAATATTACAATCTTCATAAGGTGGATATTAGTACAATTTCATCATTTTATTAAAAAAACCAAAGATACAAATCTAACATATTGAAAACTCATGCAATTCACTGCAGCGATTTATTATGTTTATCTAAACCTCAAAAATTAATAGAAGTAGCTATGGATAGTTAACAGGGTTCTGCACCAACCGTCCTCACAAAAGAATCTTAAATTCTTTGATCGCACACTACGATGGTGATATTCTTATTAAGGTATTCTCGGATTTCCCTGTGGCTGCCTTATTTCCAAACTTGCAATTTGTACATGTTTTTATACGATTAGCAGATATCTTAATTATATATATAAATAGATTTATATTCATTTTAAAAAAGTAATTCGATTTGATTTAGTTTTGGAACCTCCAGGCAAGAAGAGTCCGGTACTTCCGGGGTGGTGGAATCCTTCCGGAGCTTCAGCTGAAGATCAGTTTGTTTTTATTGGGTGAGAGAGGAGGAATCCTGGCGACAAGCGCGGCCCCATGAGGCACTGCCCCGGATGGTAGGGCAGCTACAAACCCGGCATCGTAGGTTGCCCCACACGAATACGGATGCCAACACCACAAGGTACTTGCTGACGAGTAGGCTGGGGCGACACCAGCGTCACTCATCTATTCTCTCTCCTTCTCCCCCTCGTCGACTACATTAACAGATTTACATGCCTCTGTTGCTCATTAACACACCCACAGTAAACCTCATGCCAATGCGCCAGTGAACGCTGCGGCCACCTCTTCTCTTGTCACTCTCGTCTGTAGAGTCCCTCGGTTATGTCTGCATCACTCGTGGATTCGCCCTTTCCTTCTTTGAACTCTTAGCTGTTTGAATAAGCTTCTCCACGTGCGAGGCAGAGGGGAGGAACCAGCCTTTGGAGGGCACCAGACCTTCCTTTGGAGTACCTTCATTGCACTACGAGGAGTACCTGTGTTCATGGTGTGAGCATTCAGAGGTTTAAGGATTGAGTCTCTAGTTGTGATAGGGCTGGCCAAGGCGCGATTTTTCTTGCGCTTTTGGAGGAGACATGAGAGGCTTTGGTCGCGGATGACGTCGATAGTAACAAAATTGCAATCCGCAGAGGCGTGGTGGGTTTCTCGCTGTGGCATTGTTTGTCATCTGATCGATACTGTTAAGCGTTCAATGAGCGTCGACAAGGGGATCTGGAGTAGCGATTTCTCTTTTCCTATAACGGGTAACGTAACCTGATTATACACATGTACTTGAAGCAACACCATAGAATGATTTGGCGTGTCTATCGGCTTGAGTCCAACAGGTTTAGTGCATTCTATGTGGTGCGGAGCTACTTGACTGCGTTCTATTCGTGCAAAAAGTAGTCGCTGCTCGCCATTAGGGGAATGGATTAGGACCACTGCATGCGTTGGGGTTTAGAAGTTTAAAAGTAAACCTGGTCACATCCTTCAGAAGTTGACGACTTCTGAAGGATGTGAGTCTTGATAGGGTAATACTGGACAAGTTTATCGGCACAAGGCTTATCACCTTCTAATATACCTTTGAAAAGACCTGGGGATCAATTCATTTTTTTTTTTTTTTTTTTTTTTTTTTCTGGGCGGATTGTTTGGTATTTGGTGAAAGTGGAGGACTAGGGCCAATGTGGCATGTCGTCGCATGACGCTCTGGAACTTTTTCCTTCGTTCTTTCAGGTGGGTACTTTGAGAGTCCTTACTGTGCATAGATGCTATTTACTACATCTGGTGATTTGAGCGCACCTTATTATTTCGTATTATAATTAGGGTATGAAGTTGCAATGCTGTCCTGTGGAACTCACTTCGGGCCTGAATTTGAGTGGCCGACTTTGGAAGTCAGGTTGGTATTGCGCCTGAATCTGTGTGCGTCAGTTTCTAATGCGCATTTGAATGAACGCATTTCTGTTCGCAGAATTTCCAGGAGTGGAGCCCAATACTATTTACGAGATTGGTCCAATGAGCCTTGTTCTGATAACTTTGTAAGCTACACAGCCAAGTGTGCTGAATTGTTGGTTGATGAGAATTCGTTTGCTGCACGAATATCGGAGCTGACTCTGATTATGGAGTGACCGTTAACAAGCAGAAATCCCAGCTTTTGTGGTGGTCAAACTTTAATCGTGACACAAAGGTGCGAATTTGATTAATCAGATATGTTTTTGTCGTGAACCAAGATGCCTGTCAATTGCTCCTTTCAGATGAATCTGTGAGTTCGTCACATTGATGATTTTTAATTCGTTCTTCATTGACGCTGCAGGACAAGTTGTAACTGGATTCATTGAAAGTAGGGACACACCGACCAAGGAGAACTTAAGGCCGGATTGCAAGCGTCATGGGAGTATTCACAATCTTAAGCTCCAAGATTAGGAGAATGACACGTTTCAAATGCGTATGTTCAGCTATTGCGGTGTCTTCAGTTGTCGTAATGATTTTGCTTGTGGATATCCTGAATATGTCTGGCCCGTTTCCGCACACCCACAGTTTAACCAACCGCTTTGAGGCTCTGTCCAACCCACGACTGATTCTGAAGGAGTTGCCCAACACCTTGTCCACAATACAGAAGTCGGCTGGTTTGAAGCTTCTTGATTACACCAATGGCATCAACAACGAGGTAGAATTTACGGATGCGCAGTTTGTTGAGACAGTGGAGGAGCAGTACAACCGTATTATCTCCTCGCAGAAGTGGCTCCGACAGAGGGTGAGCTGGGAGGAACAAGACTTGCAGAAAGCCCCGGAAATGGTCGACACCTCACAGGAGCTCACGGTGACAATTTTCAGTGCACCGCCTGCTTTCACAAGGAGCGAGGGTGATCTTAATCGCCAAGCTTTGTTGTCGTGGTTGCACCTGAGTCCCCGACCTCATGTTGTCCTTCTCGGAAACCACTCTTCATTACACCAAGTGGCCGAAGAATTTCCAGGTTTGGTTACTGTGGAGCCTCACATCGACTACAGCTTCACAGGTCTACCGCTTTTCAACTCTATGGTTGCAAGAGCCAATACGGTGGATACCAATGTGACAGTTTTGGTTCAACCCAACGTCATGCTGTTACAGGATTTCATGCCTGGGCTGCGAAAATTGGCAGGCACGTTCACTGACTGGGCGTTGGTAGCTCAGCGGCTTGAAGTGGCCGACCTTCCATTCAAGTTCATTCACAAGGGTGGGGGAATCATATTCCTTGTGCATTCCGTGACAGGAGAGTCAATGATCGATCGTGAAATGGCGAGTTTTGTGCGGACATCTGGGAAGCTAGATTTGCTGGAAGGGGTGAACCTTTGGGCCTGGAATGTTGCAGCTGATGGTAGTTCGCTTTTCGCATCACCCATGCCCACTTTTGCGTATGCAGCTGGTTACCACGACCAATGGATGGCTCGAGGGCTTGTGAGCGGCTCACGGATCGTTGTGGATGCCACAGACGCTCTAATTGGCTTCCATGTTCAGGGAGCTTCTACGCAGGTTTTGGGCATGGCTGATCAAACACAGGCGCAGACAGAGTCTTGGAGTTTAGCTGGTAAAGAGTGGCAGAATATTGCCAACTTGTATCTGTATCGAAAAAACCGAGACATCTCAGCGGAGGAAAAGGATCTTCTGTCTGGAGGATGGAAACTCATTGGTTGCCCTGAACCTGCTATGATTAGGCTCTGCATAAGCGAGACCCAGTCAGCCTCAAACCCCTGCCGGTGCGAGAACCTCTTGTCAACCTCTGTGCCTGGCATTCGATATGCTGAAACATTTCTCGAAAAGGAGGCCAGGTTGAGACTCGAAGTGATACGCATTCCAGCTCTTGGGACTAGTCCGGAGTATGTCCTCAGCATGGACCAGCTTCTGCCCGAACTGGCGGATTCAAAGAAGAACGTTGCCCTGGTTGGGGTCAAGTCGAGTCACAAGGACATGCTCTGGAGTTTTATCTGTCGTGCCCGGGCTCTCGGGGTGAATAATGTTATTGTTGCTGCGTTTGACAAGTCCATCTACAAGTCTGCTCTTGTGCGAGGAATCCCTGTGTTCTACGTTCCCTTGCCTGAGTCTGCCTCAGATTCCGAGGCAGTTATTGCAAGATCCGACGTTAGCACCAACTGCTCGCAGCAACTGACACAGCGGAAGCTGCAGGTGGTTCTTCAAATCCTGCAAAAAGGGTACCACGTGGTTTGGAGCGATGTTGACGTTATTTGGTTCCAAAATCCTCTGCCCCGCTTAACGGCATTTCCAACAGGCACTTTCCTCGTCGTGAGTGACGAACCGAATATGAACCTTCCTGCCAATGGTCGCGGGCGTGTGGATTCAGGATTCTTCTACGCGCAATCGGAGAAAGCAACCATCAAGGCCTTCAAAGATTTGATAAGTTACGCAAGCGAGGCACCGGAGCAGCCTGAGCAGTTGGTGTTCGGGCATGTGTTGTGTGGAAAGGGAGCGCAACATCGAGTGGGCGTGACGGAATGTAAGGCGGCCTCAAGTGGCCTCCGAACAAGCTTCCTGAACCGACGAACCTTCGCGAATGGAATTGTGAATGATTACTGGTGGCATGAGAATGTGACGGAAGCAGCGTTGAGCAGCGGAGTATATGTCCTGCACAACAATTGGATTCATGGAGCTGCAGAGAAAGTGAGGCGTCAGAAGGCTAAGCATGTTTGGTTCTACAATGATGTCGACAAGATGTGTCTCCATGCATGGCAACGCCCACACCAGCGGCTTACAGACTCTTCAAGGCCCACTCTACTAGTAGATGGAAATATTTAATTAGCGTAGGCGTGGACATCTTGCAATTGTATCATACTACCCTCTCAATGTTTTGGGATTTTTGTAAAACATTGCCACTAACCTTAGGGCTGCAATTTGGAGACACCGCTACTTAATGACTAGAGTGGGACACTCGCCGACACCCGTTGTTTCGGCTCGCCAGAGATTGCTATTGCTGCACTACGTTTTCTACGTGCAACACAAGACGCATGTGGTGATCAGATAAGAGTGTACGAGTTTATCGATGTCGCTCAGGGGCTGTAGGACAGCATCGTACCAGTGAACATTACTGTGTTCACGGAATCCGTGATGTCGATGTCGAATTCAAGCGACGTGGATGACCAGACTATTGAGAGGGCGCACTCAGAGTCGTTCTTCCATTGCAAGCTCCGTTAAACCACTCATTGACCGTACCCGCTTTATTCCGAGGTCCAGGGTTCCTCCGAGCCCCGAATGTAGAGTCGCCAGGTGAGATTATATACTGATACGACAGGAAGTCTTACGTTCTGAGAACACTACACAAGTCCCTGCCTTTTTACAAGGGCAGCCATCACAGCTCCCTCTCTTGACGTGAATGTGCAGATGACCACTAAGCCCAGCTGGCAAATCAAATTCACTCTAAATGCTAATGAATATTTCATTTCAAATGTTATTGTCTTAAAAGAAAATGACTTTAGGTAAATATAAGGCCCTTAGTTACATCCTCTTTATTCTTGGAAAGCAAGTGACATTATCAATGTCAAATGTAGAAATTGTTTGTGGAAGTAAGTGTTTGATGACAGAAAAGATACAACCAAACTCAAGTTGTGAATTTTAAGTATACTATATTTCTTCTTCTTACTCTCTTGATTTAGTTTGATTTTTCTTTAATTTACTTTTATTTTACAATTAGTCTAATTACATCCATATTATATATATATATATATATATATATATATATATAAATATAAACACATATTTTAACAATCAATTGTTCTATTTTGTATAAATTTATTAGTTTGATAAGTCTAATATTTTCAACTTTTTAAAAAAAAATCTCAAACTTTGATTAGATTTGCATGCCAAATTACTTCATATTACAGTTTAAAACTTTAATTTAAACTCTTTTAAATAAGACTTGTTTATTCATGGAGAATTTCTAGCACACACTTATTGTTACATTATGTCTTTATTTCTTTGTTGTGTTTGATTTTATGAATTATTCTTGCTACTTATGGTAATCTATTTTTTTCTTCCAATTGTATATGTCTTAGCATTAGTTCTTTGATTTTCATTGCTTGTTTTTTAGTTTTGTTGATTTTAATTTTAAAAGACTTTATTTAATAAAAACAAAATTTGAAATATTTTAGCTTAATTTAGTGTTGTTTTATTTTTTTTTCCTCACAATAATTCAATTTTTTTTTTCTTTCTTATTAAAAAAGAAATAGACAATTCTTATATAAGACAGCTTAGAAGATAAATAAAAAGACATAAAATGCTATTTGATTGACTACATGCCTCATTGTTTTTATAAAAAATGAAGCAAAAAAACATAATACAATCTTTTATCAATAAAAAAATCAAACAAAGTTTGTTTACTTGGTAGTTATTATGTATTTTTGAATATATTATTTATATAAAAAAAACATGTGACAGTTCTAGTCAAGAAAATTTATGCTTAAATAATTTAAGAAGAAGCCTAACACATCAAGTCACAACCTCTTCCTTACAAGTTGTGAGGGAATATCAAGGACATGAATCTCAAAGAAAGAAAATCCTCAATACACTCTTGTATCATTGAAAAGAACTAAAAAGTCATTCAAAGATGATATAATATTGAATTAGAATGGCTATTGCCAAAAACAAGAAGACTAGAAAGTCTTGAAATAAGACTAAAGACTAAAAAAGCATTGACAAGAGTGAAAAAGGCTTCACTCTTGCTTCCATATATACACTCTAACTAAGGATTATGTGGCATTATTCTATAAGACCTCCAACATGTGTTGACTTTGCCAACCACATGTTTTAACTTGTAAGGCAAGTTATCTATATATGCACCATATAATTAGCTTATTCTACAAGCTACCAACATGTGGTTAACTTGTTGGTAAAGTTTCTATCCTACAAATACATCTAAAGACAAAATCGCGTCTATGAAGCTTTTAAGAAGTTTTTCTAGAAGAATTTATGAAATTAATCTATATTTACCTACTTCTATCTAATCATATAAGTAACTATTGGGATAAATGTATATATTCATGACATTACTTTTCCTTTTAGGAATGAGTTCTATGAGGAGTGGTCATCATGTTTCATAGAACTTTGCAATTCTTCATCTTGGTTTTGATGGATGTTGTTGATAAAAGGCCTGAATCTTCTTTATTGCATTTGCAAATTTTTTTGCTCGCTCCCATATGCATTCACTACTATCATATCTATGCTAATGAATAAGATATTTTAACCTATTTCGATGCCATCTTGAATCTAAGACTTCTTCTACCTCAAACTCTTGATTATTATCCACTTCTATAGGAGGAAGTGACATTTGTCTTTTTCTCAAGATATTCACTATCTTATACGGCTTAAAGAGGGGCATGTGAAATAGAAGATGGATCTTCATATACTTCAGTAGATGTAATCAATAAGCAATAGGATTGACTTGTTCACAAATAAAAAAAGGTCCAAGCCTATAACAATTCAACTTATCACAAAGAAGAGTAGTCAGGATATTATGACAAAATAACCATACCTTGTCACCTACATTGAATTGTGATTGTTTCTTGCAATAGCTATTGTGAAAGACACAAAATAAAAGAAGATACATAAAGTTGTGGAATCAATGTTAAAAGAAAAGTAAAAAAATAGAAGAAAATATGTATATTCAAAGAAGAACTGAAATGGCTATTGCCAAAGACTAGAAAACATAAGACTCTTGAGACTAAACTAAAAGCAAGAAAAGAGTTGATAAGAATGAAGGCCTCATTCTCCCCTCTATATATACTACTTAACTAAGAACTATATAGCAACATGCTATAAGACCTCTAATATGCATCCAACTTTCAGCACACATGTCTAATTTACAAGGCAATTTTCCTAGGTGTAAGCCATATGTCCAACTTGTACTACAAGTGATCAACATGTCAACACGTGGTTTCTTTGTTGGCTAAGTTTTCAACCTATCAATCACCTATAGACATCTATAAAGACAAAGTAGCATCTATGAAGCTTCGAGGAAGCTTTCTATAAGATATCATCATATTTATCTACTTTGACTTACTTCTATCTATTCATATTATCTATGTAATTATTAGGACAAATATGTATGTCCGTGACAGATACTACGAAGGTTTTTTGTCATTCTTCAGCTTTTTTTAATTGTGTCTTCATTATTGCATATAGCTCTAATAAATAATTTGTTAAATCTTTCTTCGCAAGATTATCAAATTTTAAAAAGTCAAAAGTATCAAGTTATAGATGATAACCATAATTAATAAAGAAAAATATTTATTTAGTACAAGAATATATTAAATTATTATATGCAAACTTTATGAATGACAAAAGAGTTGTCAAATCATCTTGATGATAGTTGATGCTACACCTCAAATATTGCTCCAAAACTTAATTCACCTATTCTATTTGTCTATTAATTTGAGGATGAAAAGCCAAACAGAGCTTTATAGGTACTTTTAGAATCTTAAATAGGATTTTTCAAAATCTTGATACAAATTGAGTCTTCCTATTTAATATAATATCTTTTGGTAATCTATGATAGCAATAGATATTGTCAATTAAAAGCTTAGCTATTTTTTTTTACTTGAAATAGATTTTGTCAATGGTACAAAATAGGCCATTTTAGTAAAGCGAGCTACAATTACAAATATAAAGTCATATGAACATGAACTTGAAAGATCTAAAATAAAATCCATAGAAATAGAAGACCATATTGTTTGGATATAGGCAATGGTATCATGGACATATATTTACTATAATTATTATCTAGGTGATATGAAAAGATAGAAGTAGATAATAAAAGATTAATTTCATAATATCTTTTAGAAAAGCTTCCTAGAAGCTTCATATACACTGCTTTGACTTTGCATGTGTTTATACTTAATTGATAGATTAGAAACTTGGTTAACAAGTTAATCACGTATCACATATATTAGTAGCTTATAGAACAAGTTAATTATGTGGCACCTACATAAAAAACTTGCCTTGCAAGTTAAGATATGTATTGTACAAAGTCAACACATTTTTGGAGGTCCTATAGAACGTTGTCGAGGTAGAGAGAGTTTGCCTAAAGAAAGCGCTAGACTTTTGGCTGCCACTAAATACTCAATCAACTCTAAGATATAAAAATACCAAGTTATATATATAATATTTTCCTTTTTTTTGGCAATTACATCAAAACACAAGCCCTAAGTAACCAACAACACCCAAAATTTGATAAAATCCTCTAAAACCTTATATATCCTTATGTGGAAATTTTTCCAAACTTTAACAGCTCATATCTCCTAATCCGACTGTCCAAACAAACTCAAATTTTTCATGAGATACTGATGTATTTTTATTAACTTCTACAACAAATTTCAACTGCATATTTATTGCAGATCTTGAGATATCTTCAAAACCCTAATATTCACTTCAAACCCCTGTCTTTATACACTCGCATGTAATTTTTTTTATATCTCACAAAATATAAGCTCAAATTCCACGAAATTTGTATATATAGCTTCTTAATATAAAATGTTACATTCTTCAAAAAGTTTGAGCCAAAAATTTGTTCTAAAACTCAAGTTAAGGCTCCAACCATTACCATAAATAAAACCGCTTACTTACTGCCTTTGATTTGGAAGCACCGCCTTCAACTCCTTATAACTCCTTCACATAAACTCCAAAAGCAATAACTTTTTTATGAAAGATGTAGGCCTTAGAATCATCGTTCTATTTACACCTTTTGATTTTCAAAAGATATTGTACAACTCCTCATATTTTCAAAAGAGTAATAATATGTCTTAAATTATACCTTAACTTCAAACGGCTATAACTTCTTCACCCCAAGAAGGCCTCTACAATTACTAAGACCAGCAATGAAAAGTATGAAGATGTTGATGATGATAGTAATGAGGATTATGAATCTTTG